GCTTAAAGTTTTCCTCAGTTTTATCATTTTGTCACTTTTTAAAGCTCTCTTTTTTCATCTTTATTACCCGCTTGGATCTCTTCCCTCCACCACCTAGTTTTCTTAAAGTTGGGTCTTTTTTCTTTTGACTCTCCAAGAACTTCTCTTGAGATTCTCCTTATACAATTAACTATCAAGTTCCATATAGTGTTAGCACCATCGTTCATGTCTCAAGTATCTTTTTTATCCATTCTATTCTTAAATATTTCTAATTTATCTCCTTTTAGGCCTCACCATCTCGTCATACGACGTCCACTATCCTTCCTAGCTTGGTATTTCCATTTAAAGCATAAATTTAATACCAAAATCTTATATTAAGACGTTAGACTCTCTCTAGGAATCAACTTACAGTCGTTGCATTTTACTAAAAAGTAATATATTTAACTCCTAATTAGTCTACTCTTAAAGGTTATCAAATGCTCATCTCTCTTCTTATATATAATATTCTACTTTCAGATCAGAAGCTAACGCAAAATCTAAAATATTTTCTTCAGTCTCCTTAATCTCTTCACCTTTCACCAATATTTTAGACTCCTCACTCTTGGTGCACTTAACCTGATCAAAGTCACTTGTTTTTCTCTCTCTTATCTTAACAAGTTTGTATATTCTCTTCTCTTCCTTTTTACTATCTAGTCTAGTATATAAGTCATCACAAGCTTTTAACTTAGTCTCTCTCACTATTTTTTGATCTCCTTATTAGCCAATTTGTAACTCTTAAGTTTTTCACAGTTTTATTATTCTATCACTTTTTAATGCTCTGCAGGTGGATGGTTATGCAATCCGCATACTACGGTCAATGTCCATTCATCATGTGTGGTAAACCTGTGAGCCCTCATATCAAAAGGACAACCACACTTCTTCGTACCGGTTATTCTTGATGTATTGTTGCCATCATGTTTTAACTTCTTTGTTGCTCTATATTGGCCACTCCCCTCACAAGCAAGATACATCCTGGGTCTTTTTTTCCCTCCACCATAGTCTGATGTTTTGATTACAATGACCAAACCATTTCTCTTTCCAACTTCACGTACCCAGTTGAGCAATTCATCCTTACTTTTGAATACCTACAAAGTTAAATAAATATTATCAAACATTTACATTTGGTGAGCAATTCGAAACATAATCGTTATAATTTCGTAGACTGAACCTGTTCAGTTGTGAATTGAGTGGTGTAATCTAACACAAAATCCGCGCAAACCTGACTTCCTTGAGTTGACACATATTCCTGCATGTTTTGTATAACATTACAAATTTTTAATGGCATTATAAAGATTAATTTGCAATTTGAAACTGTAAATTTGGTATGCAGTTTGCAAATTTGGAATATAAAATGGAAAAAAAAAATTTACTTCATTCGGAAGTAGTTGTCCGAATTTTTTTTAAAATTTCGAAAGTTGAATGTTGTAAAAGTTACCTTTGTTCGGACAACAACTTCCGAAATTTATTACTTTGTTTGGACATCAACTTCCGAAAATACATAATTATTTCGGTACTAGATTTCCGAACCAAATAACACAATTCGGCTCTGGTTATCCAAACGACGCTGGAAAAAAAAAAAATTTAAACTCACATTTCCTTCGCTCTGCTTCACATGAACACTTATTTGCTGATTTTCAGAAGGCAAATCCTCCATAACAATGATGTTTTCCCTACGAATGACGAAGGTTGATGAACTTGGAAATGCCAAAGCCCTTTGATTTCACTTCTACCTCAATGAACATCATATACAAAAATTGATGGAAGAAGCTATGAATGAGCATCCACAAGCTACACACACACGATGCAACAGATGTGAATTCGCATCTGAGATGTGCATTGAGATGTTTTTAATTAACAATGGTGTCTAAAATAGTAATTTCACTTAGGGATAAAATTGTAATAAAATTAAATATCATTAAGTGTGTGTATTGAGGGGATTAGGTGTGTGTATATAGAAGCTCCCCTAATTTTATTTAAAATACACCTTGTAATTTATTTAAAATATAAATTATTACTTATAATGTGCAAAATTATAAATATTTTTCTGTCAGAATTTTTTATTTAACAGAATTAATTAAAAAAATTAAATTTTTAACAATTCACCTATACAATAATAAAATTATCTAAATTATTAATTGGTATAAAATTTTAACATTATTAAAAATTATTAATTAATTTGATGATTTATTAATAAAAAGACCTATTTGTTATAATGTAATTTTTAAAATTACAAAGATAATTATAATTTAAGTAAATTTTAGGAGGTGTGTTTGTAATTTATCCACATAAATATGATGACGTAAGTTTTTCTACTACTAATAAAATTTCTGTCCTAGCAGAGCAGGTAAAATGGCATACAACCAAAAGCACGGGCCAAACAGAAAATTATATATTATTTTGTGCTCGGGGCATTCCCCCAATCAGCTCAGGAACCACAAATTTTCCCTAGTCCCTTGCACATATTTGCTGGCTTTGGCTGAGATAACGCCCCAAATTACCGTTTTTTCAACAGAAAGCCCTTAGTGTTGGTAGAAATTATTAAGTGTTCAATGCAACACTGACATGGTGGGTAGGATCTACACAAATTTATGGTAAATATTCATTTGTAGCACTGAATAAATTGTGCTAGTTAGTGTTGGTCTGTAAGAGTGACACCCTCACCCTCACCCAGGTTTTTAATGGTTTTTTTCTTACTAATCTTTTCCCCATTCTCTTTCTTGCTTGCTTCCTTTCCCAGTGTTTCACCTCCAAAAGCAGCAGACTCCGGCTTCAGGGGCAAACATCTGAGCTTGCATCCATTTTCAAGGACATGCTTAAAATAATTGGGGAGTCAAGAACATCATTCATAAGTTTAGGAAATTCTACTTAAAAACTCTACAATGAATAATAATAATAATAATGATAACAGCTATTCACCCCTTCAACAGATCTTCTTTATCAATCTTTTTCTTCATAATTACCTCCCTCACCAGAACACTCAAACTCAAAGTTAGTTTGTAATAATGATGACTACATGCTACTGCAGCGCAAACACCCTCAGAAAGAAATCATTCCCTCTTCCTGCAATGAAGCCTGGATACAAAATCCAATGGAAAATGCATTTTACCCCCAGCTGGGGGTGACACCCAGTGCGGTGTCAGCTGGGGGTTGGTCCGAACAGCTATTCACCCCTTCAACAGATCTTCTTTATCAATCTTTTTCTTCATAATTACCTCCCTCACCAGAACACTCAAACTCAAAGTTAGTTTGTAATAATGATGACTACATGCTACTGCAGTGCAAACACCCTCAGAAAGAAATCATTCCCTCTTCCTGCAATGAAGCCTGGATACAAAATCCAATTTATTCATTCCCCTCTAATTGTGCTTATTTATCTAATTTATTCATTATTTCCACCAAAATCCAAAATATTGCTACTAATAATACATTTATTCAATCAAGCATATTCAGATCCATGACATGAATTACCAAGAGAAACATACATATGAAGCAGTGATGAGAGCTTGCTCATCAAAGTAGTGGAGAGAGAGAGAGAGAGAGAGAGAGAGATTTATTACACATGATTTTTGCTTAAAAAGCATGCAATGCTTACTATTTTCCAAATTTGGTTCACGTCAAAAATATTATAAAAATGTTACTCCCCAAATATACACTTGGTCAGAGAGAGAGAAACATCTCAAAATCACATGTATATAATTCCTCAAAGACAAACATGTTGGCATTTCACAAATTGGAGGTACAAGAATACCATTCCATTACACCAACTAACAATGAGTAAGCAGTGCAGTCATAAAAACCAAACTATCCGTAGATCACCAAAAAGAGTCCTGTAACCCTGGCATTTAAACTTGCTTCATAACCCAGGATTAGAATTCAAGCTTTCTGCATAAACTCTGGTCAATGTTCCTCAACTTTCTTGTTGGCTTCATAGGAGCACGAGGGCAGGTTTCAGCAATTCCACTTAGACGAGTTACAGAAATAGGGGTCTTAAACGCATCAGCATCAGAACCCAGAGGTAACATTTCAGCAAGGAGAAACCCCTCTGTCTGCTTTGAAACAATAGCTTCCAAAAGAGCATCATAGACTGTTTCCAGTAACATTTCATCATCTGAGATGGTCTCAGCATCAGTTTCATGATTTCCATCCCGAATACATTTTACAGAAGAATCAAAATTGAGGCGCCGTGCAGCATTGCTCCGTGATTCTGGCAGATACTTGTTAGAATGTGGAGCCAGCATGATCTTTTCCGGACCAGGAGCAAATGGATCAAAAACACCCTCCTTTGGAGTGCGGGGGCTTCCATCACTGGAAGCGTATAAGATATCACTCTGGTGAGAATCAAAGAGGGCAGCTTTGGGTGGTGGTGAAGAATCCAATGTTAGTGGGGACGTGAAATCAAAGAGGAAGTCTGTATTTGAATCAGGAGTGATAGGCCCTAGAGAAGCTGCTGCTGTGTCCGTGGATGACATTGGCGAAGGTAGCTGAATAACATTATTATTATCCTCGGCATCCAGGACGACAACATAATTCACATTCAATTTCTGAGAGAGAATTTCTACATTATCCGGTTGATCCACGCTGACTTCAGTATCCATATTAATCTCCGAGAATGAATTGAAAAAGAAACACAACTGTAACACAATTGATAATGGAAAGGGGGGAAGAACAAATTAGGGATTTTATCAACGAGGAGGTTTTTTTTTTTTTTACTACTTTCAATTGTTTCGTTCTAAGAAGAAGAATAACAAAACCCAAGATTCTCAAAAAGAGATAGCGGGAAAAAACAATTAAAAGACAGGGTTCAAAAACAAAAACCCTAACCTAGAAAGCAAGCAAGAAGCACATGAACAACCCACATACAAAAATCTCAAACATCACGATTAAAAAGAAAGGAGAAAAAACAAGAGTGAAGTTGTAGAAATGCAAGCAACTCGAACATAACATGATTAGAGAGAGAGAGACACAGACACACACACATAGATGGATGGATCCAAAGAAACAAAAATGTAGACAAGTGGAGGAGGTCCCATGAAAATACTTTGAACGGAGAAAGAAATAGAAATGAAAACTTACTAACTCCGTTGGGGGGGAAATGAAAATAGATTGCAGAAAAAACAAGTTGAAGTTGAAGTTGAAGTTGAAGCTGAAGTTGAAGAAGCTGAAACGGGAAGACGAAGAAACCAGCGGAAGCACAACGGGCACGTATAAATGAGAAAAAGTAACGGATCCGATCCGACCTTGGTAAAACTGAAGTCAGGTCGCCTCTATTTGTGTTTTTCGTGTCTTTGCTAAATTACACTCGGAGATCTCCCTTTGAGTTCTCTTAATTCCTGAGACCTCCTCCCATCTTTTCGAAATGACACTTACCCCCCCACCTCTCACTTCTCTTTTTATATCCCGAGCCCGCAGCTGCCCAGCCCTATACATTTAAGACCAGGCCCATCATCTCTGACGTCCTGAGTTTGGGGTTTGTTCATTCTAAATTTCAAATTCCTAAATCTCATCCATAGGCTTCACAGATATGAATATCAAATGAGCTCGCGGCTTTTGAGTTGGGCTTGGCCCATATGAGTCTAATTTCGCCAGGCTTTTATTCAACTTCTTTTTCATACACAAACTTTTGAAATACATTGAAACAACTACAAAACCCCGACATCATCAATAATGTGCTGCATATGTATCTGTTAGTGCCAAAAAAGGCTACTACATGTATATTCTCGGATTCAACTTGTATTTTATTAATTAAAATAGTAGGATTTATCATTTTGATATTAATTTTTAAAAAATCGAAGGACAAGTATCATGGGATGAATAGGAATCGGAGATGCTGCTGTGCAGACTGCTTTGCAACAACTGTTGTGCAGCAAAATTGGCTCATTTCGGGACCCATTTCAATAGTCTAAATCGTACATATTTTAGAATACATCAAATAGAACACGTCTGTAAAAATTCAAGTTAATCGGATATCGTTTACCCATTCATCCACTCACATTTGTATCTACAACAATAAAAAATAATTGTAATTTAAAGTATTAAAATGAATACAAATGTGAGTGGATGAATGGGTAAACGATATCCGATTAATTTGATTTTTTACAGACATGTTCTACTTGATGTATTTTAAAATATAAACGGCTCAGATTATCGAAATGGGCCCATTTCACTACCCAGTAGTTGTTTCTGCGCAGCCCACGCAGCAGCATTTTCAATTCCGATGAATAATATAGAACAACATGCTAAGATCTAGTTCAAAAAAAAAATACTCTAGGACCATGTTTGTTAGAATCAACTAGATTAAAACTATTAGTTATGGGATTGATTGGATTGTGTATTAGACCAATTTTATTTTTTTTTTAATTTTCATTTTGTATCATATCTCTATATTTTCTTTTCCCTCACATCAAAAAATAATAAATTAATTTGTTTTTATTATATTCGAATAAACTAATTAGTTTTTTTTTTCAGACCGTTATTAAGCCTCACATTTGTCCAAACAAACACATGACTAAGATTATCAAATGAGTTGCGACACATACTGGTGAGATGGATGAGATCAGAGAGTGATGGTCATGCTCAGGGACACAAATATAACTAGGATTCCTTTCACCGACCGTTCAAACTTGAAAACTTTTACACTTACCTTTCCTTTCCTTTCCTTTCTAAAAACCAACGCCTTTTTCTTCTTTTCCTTTGGTTTGGGTTTCGTTTCAGATGGGTACGAGTCTGTCTTTGACGGGAAGGTAAGATCCGAGAAGTTAGTTGTATCACTAATTTTTTTGGTAACCATGAAGATTTCAATATCAATATATCAGTATCAACTTACTCAACCCATTCGCCACGTCCTTACCTGCCCTCTATTTTATTTATTTCTTTAATTTTTTTAATAAGGCGTTGGGGGCCATAAGTCTAAAATTGATTTTTTTTTTTTAGTTTAATGCAGTATTTAGTTAAGGGATTTAGAAAAAAAATTATAAAGGAAAAGAGAAAAAGAGTGTAAAACTAAGTGAAATATAAGTATATTTTATTCACATTTCACTTACGTTTTCATTTCTAAATTCCTTCTCAAATTAGGGGTGTTGACGGTTCAGTTGCAATCGGAGAATCTCTAATCTGCCACCTGTTTGCCGGATTGGTGAATTGGAAAAAATCAATCTACATCCGTCTGCCAGATTGACGGATGGGTGTAAATCGATTTAGCAGTTTAAACTTTTACAAATTTTAAACATAATACAATAACTTGTTAATATTTTTTTTTATAACAATCCAACTCAACATAACCAAAAGATTATCAAGTAAATTGTCAAATACCAATAATAAACACATATAAGAAAACTATGAATTATCGAAAACTATTTCATTAGATTTTTTTAAAAAATAACAAAATTAAATCTTATATTTTTCACACAAAAATATTAAATATCAACACTTGTCATTTGATAAAAGGATTTTAAATTGAAAATACAACAGAATATCTAAATTCTTTGTCAATTGAAAATACAAATAGAATATCTAAACAAATTGAAAACACAAAATCTTATAAATTGCTAGGGGTGTTCGCAGTTTGGTAGTTCGGTTGTAGCCAAAGCAACATCAAATCCGTCATTCGTCCAAAACTTGGCGGATTGGAAAAAATCAATTTACAACCATCCGCTCGTCATCACGCATTCTTCTAAAATGCTGCGGATCGGTTTGGTTTGGTTCGGTTCGGTCAGTTTCGGCGAATCGAAATATCCGCTGCTCACTTCTATCTCAAATTCCCTAACTAAACACAACATAAAGGTCCGAGAGTTTATTTTCTTGGCTCATAAAGACAAGTTTCAACAAAATGACTAAACTATCCCCTATATATATATATATATATTGTTTAAGCCTCATTATAGAACTAGCCCTAACCTAACCCTCACACACTGTCTATCTCTCTTTCTCTCTTCCCACACTTTCTCTGAACCGCCGTCCCTCCTCCACCTCACCAGTACCGTGATCGCCACTTCCATTGCCACCACGCCTCCCTCCCACCTTCTCCACTAAGATCTCTCATTCCCGCTGCTCAAGACACTTGTAATAACCCTCACCACTGATTACCGTTAAACATTGATTACTGATAACTGAACTGATCATGACTGATAATTGGACTGATTAAAAATACTGAACTGACTGACTGAAGTTGGAAACCGAATTGACTGAGTATATGTTAGTTAATTGCATTCTATCTGTTTGACTGTATGGTTATCTGTTCATGCTTATGTGTTTAAACTGCTAATTGAAGGCCTTATCGGCGGTCGAATCAGAAACCGATTAGTGTTCTATGATCGTCTGAATTAATGTGATTTTATAGTATAATTATCTGAAAACTGATTAGGTATGATTAAATTAGATTAAAATAAGCTAATTAAAGAGTTGGACTTATTTACCGAATCGCCACCCTTTGTGGCCCACTCAATACACACACTTGAAACTTGTATACACTCCACGTATTTGATTAAACCAACATTTCTTCTCACATTTTGAGCCTCAACCGACCCTAGAGAGAGAGAGACTTGAGGAGTTGGTTTTCATCTTGAATTGTTTGGAATTGCTTGAGGATTGAAGTGTTGATTGCTACTTTGAGCTCCTAGACCTTGAACACAAGACTAAGGTAGGACATCCATCTCCTTGTTGTTGTCTTAGAATTCATTCTTGCACAATTCATGCTTCAATTGTAGAGCTAAGCCATGTTTTGGTGCATACATGTTGTTATAGAGTGTAATTCATGCATGCATGTTGGAATTAATGAGTTTGGAGTTGAATTCATGGTAAATTGGTGCATGCATGTTCATGTTTATGTTAAGGTTCATGTTTTCAACTTGTTTTTGGATCAATTGGCTCCTTAGAGCATCAAATTGAAGCTTTGAAAAAATGGTAAATATGGCAAACTCTTTAATTGGCTTATTTTTAATCTAATTTAATCATACCTAATCAGTTTTCAGGTAAATATACCAAAAATTCACATTAATTACGAGGGTCACGGAACACTAAACGGTTTCGGATTCGGCCGCCGATAAGGCCTTCAATTAGCAGTTTAAACATATGAACATGAACAGATAATCATACTGTCAACAGATAACTAACATATACTCAATCAATTCGGTTTCCAATTTCAGTCAGTCAGTTATCAGTCATTATCCGTTTCGTTTAACAGTAATCGGTGATTATCGGTAATCAATCAGTCATCAATCAGTAAACAGTATGAGGGTTGTTACACTAAACAAATTGAAAACACAAAATCTTATAAATTGCTAGGGGTGTTCGCAGTTTGGTACATCGGTTGTAGCCAAAGCAACATCAAATCCGTCATTCGTCCAAAACTTGGCGGATTGAAAAAAATCAATTTACAACCATCCGCTCGTCATCACGCATTCTTCTAAAATGTTGCGGATCGGTTTGGTTTGGTTCGGTTCGGTTAGTTTCGGCGAATCGAATATCCGCTGCTCACTTTTATCTCAAATTCCCTAACTAAACACAACGTAAAGGTCCGAGAGTTTATTTTCTTGGCTCATAAAGACAAGTTTCAACAAAATGACTAAACTATCCCATATATATATATATTGTTTAAGCCTCATTATAGAACTAGCCCTAACCTAACCCTCACACACTGTCTATCTCTCTTTCTCTCTTCCCACACTTTCTCTGAACCGCCGTCCCTCCTCCACCTCACCAATACCGTGATCGCCACTTCCATTGCCACCACGCCTCCCTCCCACCTTCTCCACTATGATCTCTCATTCCCGCTGCTCAAGACACTGCCATCGCGAACCACCACTGCTGCGCCATAGCGAACCATCGTTGCTTTGTCTAGAACCTCTTTCTCGTTCTCTCTCTCTCTCTTCTCCTCTTATCTTTTCAGAGAAAGAAAGACTAGAGCCAACCTGTTATCCACTCTGGTCTCAGCTAACAGTGTTGTGTTTGTCCTTTAGACCCCGTTTGTTTTAGGGTATAGAGGGAGGGTTGGGATTAGGATGGAGGTGGGACCCATTTAGTTTTGTGTTTGTTTGTAGATTTGGAGAAGGGATTGAGATAGAGGAGGAGATTAGGTTGGGCCTTGGAAAGGGGATTGAGATGAAAGAGGTGAAGATGGTATTAAAAAAATAGTCCGCCGAACTAGAAATTTTTTATTTTTTTATTTTTTACTTGTTGGGCATTTGTTTTAAACATTAATGTTTAATTTTTTGTATTTTTTTGTTAAAGAATTTTCCTATACATTTACACTATGTTTTTGGTGTTTGTCCGGTAGAAATTATTTTATGTATTTTTTAGTAGTTGGTACAACATAATAGAAAGAGTAATGTTAGAGATCCCAAAAAATTTATCAAAATTTTTATC